GTTCCTCTCTTGTAAACCAGCGATCTTCACTAGGATCTTGATATGCAAACCTTACTTTATACTGTCGTTGTGGTCTGCCTCTACGTCCAGTGTGGTAAGTACTTTCCGCAACAATTTTATCCACGTCATACTTCCCATCCATACTTGGAGGTATCGCCGACCGGCGACTTGGGAAGAGCTCATTCGTTACACAAGGAAAGAGCTTGGATGCATGGAACACTGGATATGTACGTAAATGAGGAGGAATATCAATGACATACGAAGGACCATCCACATTTCCAATTACGTCTAGAACCTGCCAAGGTCCTCGGTAGGTGGGTAGAAGCTTCTGAGAGATGTTCTCTTGAGGAGCAAACTCTTTAGACTTCACCCAAACCAAATCTCCTACAAAAAATTGAGACGGGCGTCTGTGTTTATTTGCCTGTTCAATCATTTGATGTTGTGCTTTAAGTATATTTTCCTTTACTTTCTCAATGTCTTTCTGATGTTGGACTGCAAACTCACTAGTCCCTACAGGAAGCTTATGTACTTGATCCGGGTTCAATCGATCAATGGGTCTGCGTGGACGCCATCCCAGATGTAACTCCATAGGAGTCTTACACGTAGATAGGTGCACAGAKTTATTATAGGCACTAGCAACCTTAGGCAGCTGTTCATCTCAGTCAATCTGGTCGGGACGAATGTACATGCGCAAAGTCTGCTGCAAGATCTTATTCATCTGTTCAGTCTGACCATTAGTCTCGGGATGCCTATCTGATGACATTGTCAACTTAGAACCATATACATCCATCAGTTGCTGCCATTGTTCACTTGTGAACCTGGTATCTCTGTCACTCACAATAGTTAAGGGATGTCCAAAGTCTTTTACCCAATGGTTAAAGAATTCCCGAATTACCAACTCAGTCTTTGCTTCTGCAGGCAAAGCTACAAAACAACTTAGTGAATCTATCCACTATGACCATTACTTGCGTCTTCCCATTTCTGCTTTTGACCTTAGTGTCCATGAAATCTATAGAGACAGAGTCTCCAGGGCCGGTAGGGATAGGCAAGGGCTTAAGTAGCCCGAGGGGCGATTGCGTGGTGCTTTTGTTTCGTTGGCACACTTGGCAACCCTGCACATACGCGATACAATCCGCTTTCATTCGAGGCCAGGTGTAGGAACGCAATAAAGTTCCGTAGGTCTTCTTCTATCCAAAATGACCTTCTGTATCATGGCATTCCCCCAAGATCATACTCTTGATCTCCTCATTATTCGGTATACACAGCCTATCATGCACGTCAGTTCGTTCAAACGATAGACCCTGAGTTACTTTATGATCGGGAAACTCTGCTGGCTTTTCTTGCACTAGCTTAATCATGGTTTCATAAACAGGATCAGAAGGATACGCATCTCTATTTTTTCCTTGTAGGTCTGTACCTACATCTAGGTAAGTCACGATAGCACCGAAAAAGTCTGATCTACGACTTAGTGCATCGGCAACAACGTTATACTTACCCTTGACTGGCTTCAACTCAAAGTCAAACATATCAATCTCTGCAGCCCACCTTGTTAACTTACGTGTCGTTCGAGCTTGCGTTTTAAGCCAGCGAAGTGTTTCATGGTCAGAGTATATTTTAAAATGCCTGCCTAGAAGGTAGTGTCGCCAATGATTGAGAGCCTCACGCAGAGCATACAACTCTCGTTCATACGTTGAAGCGGCCACCTTCTCGTTAGGTAAGYGGCAAGACATAAACTCTACAGGCCTGTACCCATGCCCATCATCTTGCTGGAGTACAGCACCTATACCATATTGACTAGCGTCAGTCGTGACCACGAAAGGTAAGGAAGGGTTCGCTACTTTAAGAACCGGATAATTAATCAAACACTTTTTCAGACGCTTGAAGGACATAGTGCAGTCTGAATCCCACTTCCAAATTACTTCTTTCTTAAGCAATCGGCGAAGGGGAGCAACTATTATCGTAAAGTGTCTTACGAACTTTCGATAGTAGTTGGCTAACCCAAGGAACGACCGCAGCTCAGTCAAGGTGCGGGGGTTTGGCCAATCTCTGATTGCTGTTATTTTGGCATCTTCCGGTTTGACCCCATCTCCATCAATCACATGTCCCAGGTATAACACCTGACGCTTAGCCCATTCACACTTCTTTGGATTTAACTTGAGGTTTGCTTCTCTCAACTTATTTAGCACAAGTCGAAGGTGCTCAACGTGCTCTTTTTAATTTTTGCTAAAAATTAAAATATCGTCTAAATAAATTACAACAAATTTGTCGAGCCATTCACAAAAGAGTTCGTTCATCGTTCTTTGGAAAGTAGCAGGGGCATTTGTTAGACCAAAGGGCAAAACTACGAATTCATAATGCCCATACCTTGTCCTAAAGRCAGTCTTGTGTTGGTCTTCCGGCTCAACCTCAATCTGATGATAGCCGGATTTCAGATCAATCTTTGAAAATATTTTGCTTCCCTGCACGCGATCTAGCAAATCGTCTATTCGCGGTAATGGTTCGGCATTTTTCACTGTTATATCATTTAACCTCCTATAATCTATACACATGCGAACGCCGCCGTCCTTTTTAGACACAAAGAGCACAGRCGCACCATAGGGCGAGGAGCTAGGTCTTATCCAACCATTTTTCAACAGCTCGTCGAGTTGGGTTCGCAGTTCCTCCAATTCCTGGGGCGACATACGATAGATAGGCCCCTTCGGGGGCACGCTCCCTGGAATGATATCAATGCTGTGTGGCGGATTGGTCTTTCCACCACACCACTTGGGGCTTCTGCCACATTTGCGAACTCTTTCAGGATTCTCTCAATCTCTTGAGTCCGGACT